ATCTATTTTCTTCCACCAAAGATATAAACAGTAAAAAAAAAAATTTTCCTGTAAAAACAATCTGTTGCTTTTTGTTTGTTGAGCTGGTTCGTATATATTTTAATTAATTTTATATATTTTAAAATTAAATTTTTAACAATTTAGAATTTACAAAATTTAAATTAATAATTTTTTAAAAATAAATTTAAAATTTAATTAATTAAACTATATCTCTCCGAGTTAAAATTATCTGTTTCTTGCTTGATAATGTTATAGACATAAATTCTCCATGCAAATAAGTGTAACAATCAAGGTTTGCTTGTGGTTGAGAAGATATATTATTTTTCTTGATTTATTAAATTCAAGTATTAAAGCTAGCATCCAGCACTAAAATTTATTAATTCTTTTTAATGGATCCTACAAATTGCGAGAAGAAGGGGTTTGATTTCGAACCACGAATTATTTTTTGAATAAGGAAAAAATCAAAATATATGAAAACTCTATTTTTGTTGAAAGAAAGACAGATGTATTGAATCCAGCACTTTTGCCAGTTGTCGTGTTCCGAAGAGATGAGTAACATGTGGTCCCCAACAGTTTGACGACACTTTTATCTTTTGGTTAGTATTCCTCAGCAACGCTAAGAATCCTCGTTAGAAAATAATTTTTTTTATAAATATAATTTTTTTTAAAATAAATTATTTTATAATATTTGATAATATAATAAAAAATAAATTAGAAAATACTTTTCAAAGTTTGGTTATGTCATGAAAAATAAGCTAGAAAACAATTTATTAATGTTTTATTTTTTTCAAGTTTATTAAAATAACGAGAAACAAATCTTACAAATTAAAAAATTAAATGAGAATAAAATTAAAAAATATATAATTTTATAAATTATCTTAAATAAAATAAATAATAATAAAAATAATAGATATCAAATCTAAAAAATAAAAAAATTAAAGATAAAGAAATTAAAATAATAATATTAACTTTTTATAAATTGTTTCAAATAAAATAAGTAATAATCAAAAGAATAATGATTAAATTTAATACATAAAAAATTCCAATAAAAAATAATAAGAAAAAAATAAATAACAATTATAAAAATGAGGATCAAAATTAATAGAAAAATTAAATTTTAAGAGATGAAATTAAATAATAAATATTCAAAACAAAATATATATAGCAATTAAAAATTTAAGAATCAAATTTAATATAATAAGCAAATAATATGATATTTCTAAATTTTTCACAATTTTTAAAAAGTATTTTTCATTCAAATTTTTCAGGAAAACACTTTTCTGGAAATCAAATTAAATTTTTCTTTAATTGAAAAGTGTTTTTCGTTAACTAACTTTCTCAATAGTAAACAAACATAAAAAAATTTAAAAAATAATTTTCAAAACTCAATTTTCAAAAAACAAATATGGTTTTATTCAATCTATCTTTCACCACATTATATGTTTTTGTATTTTAAAATAAAATAAATATTTATTTATTATTTACTTTAAATTATTTATTATTATTTATATTTTTTTATATGCTAATATAAAAAATATTTTTTTATTAATATAAATATTCAATTTAGTTTATGAATATTTCATTTAATTCAATTAATTTTAAAATTAATAATTATATAAATCTACAATAATTGAATTCGTAATTATTTGAAGAACCACTCTTAATATCTTTTGAATCTTATACAAGTTGTCATTCTCATAGCCTCTCTCTCTCTCTCTCTCTCTCTATATATATATATATATATATATTTATTTATTTATTTATTTATTTATTTTTTTCCCAGAGGCATAGGGGTTGAAAGTTAGAAATTTCTTTGGAGTAATTCTTCGATCATGTTTTCTAGGAAGCTTCATTGCCTTTTATTATTCAACCCAAGAAGAAGACATGCATCAATTCCACCCATAGATCTACGCTCTCTCTCTTTTCTTTTTTTTAAATTTAATTACCCTTTTCTAGAATTGATAAGAAAGCTTGATGGAGATTGCCAGGACGTCACCTTGACTCCTCCTGTTAGTAGAATAATATTCGCACGTGGGAAACTAAAGTGAGAAAACCAGACCAGCTGAATGGCCGAACTCCTTCCATGACATTCATCCTCGTTATCATAGAATATTACATGAGCATGTCGACTGATTCATGGAGACAAATATTGTTGCTCCTATTGCTGTCACCCATGAGTGGGCATTATCACTATACACGTTAGTAATTGAGTTAAGACACAAATCTATTTACAAAATGTATATTAATATGTTAAAATGGTTGATTATGATATAAATATTTAAATCAAACACACTTATTCTCATTCTTGTTAATTATATTGATAATACTCCTTTTTGTTAAAAAAATATAAATTATATATTGAATATTCATGCAAAAATTTAAATTATTAAATTGAATTAGTTTTTTTAATATGATATTAGAATTTTAATGGCTAAATAATTAATCAATTCAACTCTAAAACTTAAAGTTTTAGAATGAATTAGCTCTTTGATATAGTATCAGAGTCTTGATAACCAATCAATCACGAGTTTGGACTTCACTATCTCTATTTATTTAATAAAAATTAAACAAAAAGCAGTATAAACCTGTGCAAATTTCAAACTCAAAGGGTTTTTATTTTAAGGGTTGTGTAAGAGAATAATATAAATTATATCTTAGAAAATTGATATCAGGACCTTGATGACCAAGTGGTTACGAGTTTGAATCTTATTATCCCTATTTATTTAATAAAAATTAAGCATTATGTAGTAAGAATATGTGTAAATTTCAAACTCAAATAGCTTTTACTCTAGAAGGTGTGAGAAAGAATAATATAAATTATATTTTAAAATTTTATTTAAAAAATTAAGCTATTGAGTTAACCTGATTCCTTGATAGTCTCAGGATTTTGATTATACATCAAATTCAAAATAATACTATTTCAAATAAAAATTAAAAAGTAATTAGATGTTATTCCAATTTAATTAAATTATCTAAGTTCAATCGTTAAATATCTATCCAAGCACAAATCAAAACTTAGGCTCAAGCAATTCAAAAGGGTTAAACCTTGATAAACACACATTCAATTAAGTATAGTTTTTGGGAGTCCAAGTTGGCGGGCTGGCTTAGCTAGATCACAACTCACTCGGAATAAAAGACAACACTGGGCTATCGAACCTTTTGCTTTCAGTTTTCGGAGGTATGGTTGGAAGTTTGTAACCTGCTACCCTTTGTCATAGTTTTGATAAAGATATTTTGGAAATTCTTACAAGTAATAAAGGTTAGGTTATTGATGCATCATGCATGGTCCTGGAAATAGAAATCAGGATTTTTCTAGTTTGAAGATCAATTAAATTGTGATAAATAGATTCGTCTAATAATTGATCTTGTGCAGTCAATATTCAAGCTGGCTTGCTGCGGAAGTGGACGCAAGCACTCTACTGTGTCTTTTTTTCTATTAAATCTAACGTAATCTGATAAAAAAAATTAATTTTGTGATAAGAATATATGCTAATTATAACAAGGTTTTTGGTCAATAAAGAATACAAAGTTCGAATCTAGATTACTTTGTAAAGGAGATTTTCGGTCTCCCGGTGATCTGAAACTCAAAAGCATTGTTAACCATGAACATGGTCAATACCTTATCAGATATGAAATTGATAGCCACACACGCAACTTGGATATGAAATCATATCTCATGAGTACTTGGAACTCAAATCTCGAGTTAAAAGTGATATGTGGACCGTCGGAAAAAACAAAGTACAAGATTAATGTTTTCTTGGGAGTGATTATTCATGAGATAGCTTCTTACAATTTCTGTCTGGAAAGAAGATGGATAACACTACATTTGCTGCTGTCACTCATGGTTGAGGCAGCCATTGTAGAAATTTAGTTAGTGCCCACCAAACAGAGGAAGTCAGTGTTCGCTCCACAACGTTTGTCCTCTCCAGTCATCCTTTGGTTTTTCCAATTTTGTCACGTACCTCAACCTTGGTTTCCTGGAAGCACCCTCGAGCTCAACTCCTCCTCACAAAAAAAAACCCTATAAGAGGCAAAGGATCAACACACAACAAAACTAAAACCAGCTGCTCTCTCTCTCTTCCTCGTCTTCATACTTCCACCAAATATCGAAGAAAATGAGCCAGCTTAGTGAACAATATTCTGGCCGCCAAGAACCTAAAAGGGGCAAAAAACCCACCAAGCACAAGAAAGAACCAGTCAAGATAACTTACATTTCAAGCCCAACAATGGTTAAAGCAACCAATGCCTCCGAGTTTAGGGCAATTGTTCAAGAATTAACAGGAAAAGATTCCAAAGTTGAAGATCCCTTTGATGCATATTCGGTGACTAGCAATGAAGAAGCCAGTCAAGTTCCTCACTATGGAACTCCACAGTTCAATGTGGCAGGTGTGCATGATGGTTTTCCCAACAATACACCATTTGTGCAGACAGAAGATGGTTTCTTTTGGGGAGATGTTTCAGAGATGTCTTTCGAATTTCGATCTCCTTGTGTTTTTGTATGATTAATTAATAGCTTACGTTTTACCTGCAGCTACACGGGTGGTTTTTTCCCCCCTCTCAGGATATTTTCTTCTACTATTTCAGCACGAAAACATCTATAAGCTTGAATTATATTTTCTTCGCTGTTGGGTTTTTTTGAAGCAGCACAATACTGTCTTGTTGGAAACTTAAGATTGAAAGCACGTATGAGCATGGCTTTCATCTCCAAACAGTTTCATTACTGCAATTTTTACATTCAATAACACCTACAGAACAAAGTTGCCGTTCAAAGTTTCAGATTTTCAAACTTCACTTCTATCAACGAATCAAAACCTCCAGTCACTTTGTGTTTATAGAAGTTCTAGATTCTGATTCTGACAAACGTTACGGGTGAAAGTATCCAAGTGATGCCTCTGTGATTTCAAAGGCTAGCAAATACATGCTTTCCTAGCACATGGTTCGACCTCATTCAAAATTAGATTGAAACTAGCCACACCCATATTTCAAGCTCGCCAACAACATGAAGAAAGGGAGCAGGATTTAAGCACACCAAAACATAACCTAGAAATTTACAATGATACACTAGCACAAGATTCGTTGTCTCAATACTTCAAAACAAGCCAGCCCATGGTTTGGGGCAAGTCTTCAACGAGTTTTTGCATGACAAGTTTAATAGGCAGCAAGTCCTCCCTGGTTCCTATCTCTAGATCAACTTCCTGGCTAAACATTCCTAAGTTCAGTTGTTGACAAACCAGTAGGTTCACCATTTCTCACATCTCAATTCCCATCATCTGCAGATTTCAAGTAAAGGGTTTCACCTCCGTCACCACCATGGCCTCCAGAGCTCCCCCCTCGCCCTTCACTAGATCCAGCACTCCGAATATCTTGCTTGCTCCCACTTGCAATTCCTCTACCAGCAGCATCGATTCCAAAATCAGGAAATCCTCCAGCACCAAGTGCTCCACTGCCTCCTGCCATGATTGCCTCATTTTGCAGCATATGAAGTCCTGCGCTTCCACCAGAACTCATGCCAAGCTGGCTGTGTAAGGCTTGCACTTGCTGTTGTTGCAGAGCTGAGAATGGCTGTTGAGCATACTGCAGCATGGAAGAGCGAGCAGCCATAAGGGCTTGTGGTGTCATCTGTTGAGCTTGTTGGTGCTGCATGTAATGTGCTCCTGGCTGCATAATGCTGCTGGAAGGGAACTACAGGGATTTACAGATAAAAAAAATCAAAATCAAACTGTAATAAATTAAATACTTTTCTAAAGCCTGCGCATTCACATGCTATACATTCTCAACAGCACTTTTACCTGGGCATGCATGGTAGGTGGCGGGGGCTGAGAATCAGCAATTGCAGCCAAGTACATCAGGTTCCGCTGTAGTCTTGCTTGGTTCCTACGACACAAAATGCTCAGTGTTTAGCAATTTAATTATGAATAATTTCCAACCTCGGCGTGGTGTGTTATTTTGGAGTGTACATATTTAGGTCATCAATTAATCCTTTAATAATTACTTCCAGACAGATAGATTCAGTTACGACTCCAGCTAGAAAGGACACAAACAGACATCACCTATACTACAGCTCTAACTTTTAGACATTAGTCTAGGATCTAAATTGCCTACATCAAGGACAAAATCATTTTCCAAGATAGAATTCAAGACCATCATTTCAGCTTGCCAAGCTTTGGAGAGTATCATTTTGGGACCGCAGAGTTGCAAAATAAACAATGGAAGAAGATGACAGAGAATGCTATATAACCAAGTCACCACCCTGGAGGAGAGAAGAAGACATCTTGGTAAGAGAAAATGAGTAGAATATAAGCTCTAAAGAGGCATTCGGATGGCCATGTGAAGTTTTTTCAGTCACTTAAAATTCTGATCAATTGATCTGTATAATCCTAAAGATGGTAGGCAAATTTTTGGTACTAACCTGCATCGACAAATGGGCTAGTCAATTAAATTTAAAACACCAGCATGCCAAAGGTATAAAAATGATCATGACTGATAGATATCCAGTTGTATGGTGAGCAGCCCAATGCAGAAGATATCAAGGACAAATTAATCGTTGATTATGATCCAAGTTCAATTTCTCTTTTACCATATTCCCTTACTTCTAACAAAGACCAAACAGGTGTATGTTACCGACATGTAAAAGGCAGAATATTAGCAGCAGGGATGCCTCCTCTAACCAGAGGGAAGGCAAATTTTCAAATTAAAAATGAGAGAGGCTACTACATACTCTGCACACTCACTGAGCTTCCCTAAATTCTGGCTCTCAACAATCTTCAAAATCAATGACTTGTTTTCATCCAGATACTGCATGAATAAACGATGAAGGCATGAATAATAAATAGTTAAATAATAAATAGTAAGGGAAAAATAACGAATAAAAGAAGTAGGCAAAGAAACTCTTTCTTCTTTCGAGGAAATGGGCCTGAAAAATTAGCTTATTCTCCAGTTGATTCATGAAAGGGACAAGAAAACATGGCAAGTGAATATGCTTAAAGAAATATCACCAACTTCTGAAGCAATTCAACATTTTTTTCTTTCCTTTTCTTCACAGTTTCTGGCACATAAAAGGAGTGCTGAAGACTAACAGAGAGAGAGGATACATTGATTTAGATGAATGTCAAGTCTTTTCCCTCCACGGTAAGTGATAGAACACTAGTTTAGTATCACCATCCAACGCAAATTAATATTCTCTCCAGGTCTCCATTACCTAGCCTTATTCATACATTTTAGTTTATCTTATCACCAAGCCTCATTAATCAATTTCATTGCCCTCAGCTCTCCATAATCATACCGAAAAAGAAGTATCTATTCTTGTTTAATTTGCAAAGTAGATAACACATCTGACATCAAGAATGATGTTGGTTGCTTTACCCAAAATACAGCAATGCATGTAGAGGTTTGATTTCTTCACTGCCCAAACTGACAAAATACACATAAAAACAAAGTCCGCACTCTTACAAGTCTAGCCAGCCAGCCATTTTTTAACTGTTTCCAACAAAACTTGGAAAACTTGCTGTGATTTTTTTCCAAGCATTTCTCATGTCTAATTCAGAAACCAGTGAGCTAGTTGCATCAACTGACAAGCACAATCCTAGATAGATCTAATCCGGACCAAACATCATGAGTCATGCAACTACAAGCATTGCTCACCTCAACAGCATAAACACTTTTACTGGCCCTTGATGTCATGGAGATTACAACTTATGAAATCCCTCTGTTCCTATAGTAAACATAATGGACTGAGTCATTACTATATGAAACCGCCTATACAGTAACTTGTTGGTTGTAGCTGTACCATAAGGTACTATTAATTTTGGCATCCCTTCAACAAATAGGCTAAGAAGCAATACTTTTGTTTATTTTCCCTGGTTATTTTGGCAGTTGTTGAGGGTCCCGTACAAGCTTAGTAATTTAGTACTCACCCAACTGCTTAGAAGTCAATAATACATTAACAAACACAAAACAAACGCCTAGGGTAGCCTTAAAGTGTTTCAACACATGAGAAGAATGCCATGTTAGCCACGAAATAGAACATTATTACAAAAATGTACGGCAAAAAATGGAAAACGACACGTTATGAAAACATTGAGAGAGGACCATCTCATCAGCAACGATACGAACATATCCAAACAAATGGCAATTTATGTTAAGAAAGGACCCTGCAGTGCAGGCCATTATTCCATCCAATAACTGGCATTCATATGGTTGATCCTGACTATCAAAAACAAAAGTGTGTTGAATGAAAGCCATAACAATACCTAACATTCGTGTTTCCCCTCTGAAGTTTAATACACCTACGATAAAGGCAAGGCACTTACATAAAGTGATGGAACGAACAAGGAAACTACAGAGAACTATATAGCTACAGGCCAGCATCCAACAAATGCTTATCTAACTAAAAAATAGATACACCAATAGGCAAATCTTAACCAAAATTTATAAAACTCTGACACCCTCTCATAGTTTCTTCCGCCTATAAAACGGACCATAGTACTGGGTTAGAACATTTAATTTTACCATTATTTGTCCTGTCAACTACTATCTCCTTTTTGTGCTTCATTTCGATCAAACAAGAAACCTTGTCGCTGCAAATCAGCATTTCAATAACACCATTCTGTCTCAATTGACTTTTAAGACCAAAAGGAAAAATCAAAGAAATTGTTGAGTTGTGGCTTAAATTGGTGAGTTGGTTTAGGTTAGATTGGTTAACATATTCTATTATTGAATTTAACTTGAAGCCTTTTTCGTAGTAAAACAAGGATCCACCTTATTGCTAGTATAAATAAATAGCATATGTCATATCTGGTGGCTAGTTTTATACAACAATAAATATTTGTTTTCTTGATAGTTGTATTGTTTGATGAGGGCAGTGCTGGGTTTTGTGAAAGGGTTGCCTTATCGTATAGTTTTTCACAATAGTAGTTTGTGAGGGCTAACAGTTGTGTAATGAAAATTCCTTGGATTTAAACGAATTTTAGATGGTGAGATGTTTTTGTGAAGGAGGCCTTGCCAAACCATGTTGTATTTCACATCCCTTTGATTTTGTGTTATTACTTGGTTTTCTTGGGTTTTGCACAGCAGAAATTGAGTCCGCACATCCTTCTGTAAAATCAAGTGGCCAATATGTTAATTTTTTGTTCTCTGCTCTGCCATGCTAGCAGTTACTTGCACGTTTTAAAACCTCTATATGTATACCAACTCTTCTAACATACGGTAGCTGGTAAGGGCACCAATCATTTTTAGGCTATCCAGTTAAGAACAAAAGGAGGAAGGACATTAGATTTTAAAATAAGAATGAGATCCATCAATATTATATTATCAAATATGGAATAAACAATAAGTAAACACTAATTAAAGAACAACCAAGAAACAGCTAAAAAAATCAATAGCTTGATGCTATACATGCCCTATATAACCTGCTGACCTCTGGCTTCAAAAGAAAAATACACCAAATAATCTAAAGATTCAGCTTTTGTTGCTGGGAAATATCAAAGAGAAAAGGTTACAGGTGCCAAAAAAGCAGAAAAATATGAACTGGACATGAACCCCAAGTGATGAGTAAAGCATGTACAAGACATAAAGAAACATCAAAAGAATAAAAACCCACTTACAAAAAGAGATTAACATACATAAAGAACAAACTTGTAAACCAATACACATCAAAATTCACAAGAAAAGTGTGAAAAAGAAATTGTCAACGATAAGGAAACACAAACCAAACAAGAAAACTTGAAGGAAAAGATAGCCAATAGATGGTGAAAACAACAGCGTATATATATAGCCACTAACATTACTTGGACTTTAGAGGCACACAAAACACTCGAAAAAAGAAAACTAAGCAGGCGAACAAAAGCTGAAGTACTTACTGGAAACAGGGGGAAGAAAAGCAGATAAAAAGAGAAGGAGAAGGCGTGAAACAGAGAAGAGAAGGGAAGAGAGAACCTGTTGAATATGATCAGTAGTGACGTTGCTGGGGTAATAGGCTGCCATCATGGGCTGCATCTGCATCAGGTGCTGTTGCATTTCTTTCTTACCTATATTGCAACGACGGGCACACACAAATTAACACAAACAAAAAAAAAACACTCTCTTTTCTCTCTCCGTCTCTCTAAACAGACAAGTATCTAACACGGAGAGAGCGGTCTGAATCTCCTAAAGATCGATTGATAGATATTATTACAAGAGTGAGAAGACCAAAGAAATAAGTGTCTTTGTCTTGGGTTCTTGGTGAAAATAGTCACTTTCTTTACCCCATCTCTTTATAATTGAGATGTCACGTGACAGAAGAAAGAGAGAGAGAGAAGAAGTGTCCTGTTCTGTGTCTTTGAAAGTACAGAACCAAGTGAAGAGAATGGGAACTGTTGCAAATGCAACGGTCCGTCAGAGGATCGCTTGAGTGTTTTCCTCTCCGTTTTTCTCACAATTTGAGTGAGAACTGGTGTGCTTTTCAAGCAATCAAGACGGTGAAAAGTGATCTTTCTAAGGGCTTCTTTGACGTTTGATTTTGCGTTTTTTGTTAAAAAACAATATATGAGAAAATGCCTGATAAAATAAATAAATTGAAAAATAATAAAAAAAATCCAAATTCAGCTGGTTCTTTTCAGTATCTTAAAAATCTAAAATTGGATACCAAACATCCAAATTAATTTTTAGTTGCATAATAGAGGAATTTAGAATATTGATTCTTGATTTTAATAGAATAAATCAATAGAATATTACTCAAGATGTAATGTAAATCTTATAATTATAACTATTTTGTAATTTTTTAAAAGTATTTTTATTATGATATTTTTGTTTTATTCTAAACTCATTAAACACACGAAAATAAATATTAAAAATAAACAAGCCTCTAATGAATAATAAATATATTTTTACATTAACAATATCAACATTAGAAAAATCCAATCAATTAATTACAGGACATATACACCAATACAGAATGCTTAATTTCATGCACATCATTTTGCCTCGTTTCATCATGAAACTACAAGTGTCTCTATGTATTCCGTAGTGCACTTGGTGGTGCACAGAGTGAAGTCAATTATTATGTCACTTGTTCAGGAGATGACAAAGTTCAAAGTTATTCTTGTATAGTTAAAATAGCTTCATTAAACATTTTTATTTGACAAGCAACTTATTTGAGATCTAGAGGAGTTGATGTACATGTGATTGTGTGTCTTGACATTTCTAAATTAACCATGAAAACAACTTTTAGTGGTGTGTAAAATGAGAAAAAACTAAATTTTATTCAACTTTCAATATTCAACCAAGTTGAAAAAAACCTCAAATTAAATGAGTCTTTCCATCATTAGTATAATAAAGTATAAATATATTTTAATTTTAATTTAAATTGGGTTGGATTGATTCTTAAACTCCTATAAAACAAGTTTTTTTATCCGTATATAAAAGATGAGATCTGAGCATGGAAAACATGGTAAATGGATGTTGTGATGATTAATTATATGTGGTATTATTATATAGACTTGATATCTATCATTACATAGTAACTTGAAATATTTATATACCTTGATAACATGAAATTACCTTCCAAAGTGTGAAGCTGCAAACATACCAAATAAAAGTAATGGTGGAGAATAATTTATCTTTACCACACGAAGTCAAATGTAAACTCCACATAAGATAGAGTAGGCATCGTAATGATCATTGGACCATAGTTATTGGTTAGACAAGTAGACGTGACATTGACAATCTTTGTGTTTGTAAGCTCCAAAATTAAAGCTTCAGAATTGTGAAGAAGGTGTGTGCTGCCAAGTCTTGGGAGGTTACTAGGAAGATGTGTGATCTCGAATAATTAAGTGCGTGTGAGAGCATGTGCATGCCAAGAAGTAAGGGTTTGAGCTCCATATGATCATATGCATGCGAAGGGTTGTGTTGCGTCTAACATTGTAATATTTAATAGTTTTATTGATAGAATTATTTTTTATATTGATATAAGATATATATTTTATTAGTAATTGCTTTATCAATAAAATTATTAATAGGAATGTTTTGTTGGTGAATATTTTATCAAAATTTATTGGTAATAAAAAAATATTATTATTAATGGAACAAACGTGTAAAAAAATTATTTGTTTTATTATATTTGTATATCCCTAAAAAAATATCATCGGTAATTATTTAAAAATATTTTTAAAAATTTATTTTATAAGATTATAAAATAATTAAATTAACATAAATTAACACTCTATAATATACACTCAAAATGCTTGGAAAAAAAATCAACTCAAATAAATTTGAAAAAAAATAAATTAAATGAAAAATTAAATTCAACTAAAAAACTTTATATTAAAAAATAAAATTGTGATTGCTAAAAATTTAAAATTTTTATAAATAAATCAATTAAAAATTCATCTCATATTAAAAAAAAATCTTATAACAACATTTATATAATTATTAAAAAAATAAAAAAATATAGTAAAAAAATAATGAAATTAACTCCCTCCATGTGCATAGCTACATAAGTTTTCTAGTTGTGTTTTTTTTTTAAAAAATAAACATTAACATCACTACAAAATAATAAAAATACTGATTTAGTACATAAATTGGTGACCACTTCAACTTTTTGTTTCAAAACAGTAAATTAAGAGTTTTTATGCACATAACTCAGTAACAAAAAGTAAATTAAATTTAACCGAGTCACTGTAACTTGAATTAATGGGAGAGAAAAATGAGTAGTTGCTATCCTAAGTTTGTTTTCTTGTTTGACCAGATTGACAGTGAATTTATTGTCTCAAATTATTAATTGTTCATAGGTTTTATAGGTTTCAGAGGTTCTGGCTAGCTAGCTACTAGGGCAATCCTTGTGTTCATGTTCCACAGGACCACATCCAGCAAACAAAAGATCTTAGAATATCAGGTGGGCGTCTGCGTTTGTGAGAGTGATTTTTTTAAAAAGTGTTTTTCAATGTATTAAAAAAATAATTTTCAATGAAAATATTTAAACTTTTATAAAACGTGATTTGAAACATAATTTCAATGGATGAATGATAGGGAGAGAGAAAGAGTTACACTGACATTACAATTACTGTTTACCTTTACTTTTTATAACTGTGATCATGTGATCATAAGTGAAAAGAGTATCAATGATTATTAATTAAAAATATTTTATTTTATCTTGATAAAAATAAAATATTTATTGATAAATTAATGATATAAAATAGGTTTTATAAGTCTCAAATAACATTTAAAACAAATAAAAAAAGAGGATTGCACTTAAAGAAAATTATTATATAGCTATTTTATATTTTTTTATTAATATAGATTTTTGAATCAGTTTACATATTTCTCGATTAATTTTATAAACCATGAAATTAATAATTATATAAATCTTTAACGGTTCTAAAATTTATAGAATTTAAATTGATAAGTTTTAAGAAGTAAATCTAAAACTTGATTAGTTAAACTATACCATTTAAAATTAAATATAAGTACATTCCTTCACTTTGTTAAGCATTATTATCTATTAAATCAGTTTTAAATTATCTATATATCTATATCTATGACATGAACTTTTACTTAAAAATTTATAGGATAAAAAAAAAAATCAAAATCTAAAAGAAAGATCCTGAAAAACAAAAAACATCATATCTAAATCATTAATCTAGGATTACTCAAAGAAAATTCTTGATGAAAAGAAAAGGAAAAAATACTATGATCGAAGGTGCCACCACAAGATTTAATAATTTTATTGATAGAATTTTTCCGTCAATAATTCTATTTATAATTGACATGATAAATAGTATTAACAATTTACTAATAAATTTATCGACGGATTTTACCGATGGAATAAATTTCATTGGTAATTCTGTTGGTAAATCATTAATTTTTTTCCACTGTAATGTTCTTGGTATATACAGACATAAATATTTTTTTGATAAGATTTCTCAAAAATTTATCGCTAAAAATATTCCCTCAACATTTTCGTTTATATTTATCGATTTTCTGGTAATGGTGATAGCTAGGAGAAATCTAAAAAAACTCTTAGAAAACTAAAGAGAAAATAGAAATAAAAGAATAGTATTAGCAAAAACTATATAATGTTTTACCATTTACATTTACATAAGAATATATTAAATTTGCATGTTGTTATCCCATGATGTTGCATATAATATTATTCATGAAGTATTGAGAGGGATACATGATAAAAGTCACGACAGTCATTTAACCAATAATAAATACATAATTCAAAACATGGTTTTTAAATATAAATGAGAAGTTGTATAATTATGCTAACCATTAGTGATGTTTAAGATTGTTCTTTTATATTTTTTAAATCAAGTTTAATATTGTAAATATTTTAAATAGGACTTGATAAAAATAAGATTACTCTGATTTTAAATTATTCATATTAATTTATTAGAATGTGTCTTTGTGAGTTGCTATATACATTTTAAAATTTCAAAAGTGCTGGATAAGTGAAAAAAGGAGTTTTTACATAATTCAACTAAATCAAAAGATGTTATTAAACACAAGTATATAAAATATCAACAGGATATCAAAAATAATTTTGAAAAATAAAATATTATTATTTTAACATATTTTTTATTTTAAATTATTTTAAAAATATTTATTACTATATTTTCAAAGACACCCAAGTATCCATTACCATTCCTAAACATAAATCATTCGCCTCATCATTCTCAAAAACCTTTAAACACGAAAGCAAATCTCTATCATTGCCCTTATTTATACTATCATAATTAAACTTTACAGACATGAGATTCCCCACTAATACATGAAACTCAATAATAATAATAGTAGCACTAAAAAAAAAAAAACCCAATTTCATCCTTAAATTTCATTTTTTTGATTCTAAGAATTTAAAACAAAAATCTTCGAATCTGAACTATTGATTAATTGTATCTGTGACCCTTGATAAGGTTTTTTTTTCTTTTTTCCTCTCAAATCACTCGAATTAAACCTCTTTACTATGCTAAAGAAAAAAGAATTAGATCTTCCCAAATGATTACAGTATATGAGGGGCGACAGGCAATTGAATGATTCGACTTCTGGGCACACATTAAAATCATTTAGACTTGAAAATGAAATGTTGGGAAACGCATGCATGGGACCCAAATGTTCACATGCCCTCATGCTAGTGTAGTCCAGTCCATTTCTTACTGGCCTTAACAGGTCCCTCCCTACCATAATCAAAGGTCAACGTGACCCCAAACCTGTCCTCCAGCAGTAGCCGGCCACCACCCCTCAGGAATCTTCTAACTGTTTACGAGCTCCCTTGCTATGCAT